AGTAAAAAAAACTCCCAACGACCAATATTACTGCAAATAGCATTCCTTTTTTCTTCAGTGAAGTTCTCATTACATCGATATCTACAACCACAGTTGACTGGAGGGGGTGTTTTTTTTAGTCAGCATGACTTTTTCTTTTTCGTGAACCTAAATTAGTTTGGTTTTCTGTTGTTGTATCTACGTTAGTTTGGTTTTCTCTTGTTGTATATACGTTGGTTTGGTTTTCTCTTGGTGTATCTACGTAGGTTCGGTCTTCGCTTGTTGTATCTAAGTTAGCTTGAATTTGGTTTTCTCTTGTATCTATGTTGGTTTGGTCTTCTCTGGTTGTATCTACATTGGTTTGACTTTCTCTTGTTGTATCTACATTGGCTTGGTTTTCTCTTAGGGTAACTTATTGAATAACTTTTTTTTAACAAAACGCCAAAAGGCAATAAAAAGATAGCTTGTCAGGCAAGGTAATATACGCCCACTGGCCGCTTCGATTTTAAATAAAAATATTTGGCAGTACAGTAAAAATTACCAGTATGAAATATTCAACCTTCAGACATAAACTTCTTTTGAACTTTTTGAGGCGATACTGAATAAGATTATCAAATTCTGTCAAGAATTGTGTTTACACGCTAAGAATTGAACGTGTTTTCAAGAACAAGGGCAATAAATCATACTTAATATTTTTCGATTCTTCTGATTTTCAATACCGTTCATCCTTGGGTGATTACGAACACCAAGTTTCGTAAAAATTCGTCCAGAATTGTGCCTTCTAGAGTGTTTAGCGTTTACAAGAACAAGGGCAATAACTCATACCAAATATTGTGTCTTGTAGAGTAGTGTTTACGAGCAATTGTGGACGGGCGGACATGGGTGACGGCAATATACGCCCCCCATTTCATGTGGGCGTATAAAAAGGAAATAAACTTGATACCACATTATTTCAATTAAAATTCCGAAAACAAAGGAATTCATGTATATAAACATAAACTAGGCTCCATTATTAAAGGGACATAACTCACAAATTAAACCTCACAAAGGTGGATATAACCAGTTTTTCCAGGCTACTTTTGATTTATGCAGAAATTTGTGTCTGCCAAAAGTGTTTAAGTTGGGATAACCAGTAATTGCAGAAATTCTATTTAGGTTGTAATGGACATATCAATTCTCAAGTCGGTATATTTCAGACATTTATTCAGATAGGAGTATGATATTTTTTTGTATACACCTGTAAATGTCTAAAACTGGACTTAACTCATATTGAGAAATTTTAGACAAAACCAGTTTTGGCTTTCAAACCTCGATTAATAATATTTAAATACAGTGTTCAAAGAATCTTAGGTGTGAAAATTCTGATAACATGATTCAGATTCATCATAGAAAATAATTATGTTCTTTTATTTGTTTTTATTAATTTCATTTTAGAACGACTTACGTTATTTAGCAAATATTTACTAGATTCGCCCCGTTTTGTAACAAATGACGACCAGGGTAAAAGTGGTATATTATTTGTTTGATGATATATGAGTAAAACTGGAATACCCAATGCCGACTGGTCTTCGCGATGACAATTATGATAATCCATGTTAGATTGACTACATGCAGTACGATTTTCAGCACCTAATGGCATTATACACCTTTCTTGCAAAGCACACGTTAACCAAGATCGCATGATGAGAAGTGATATTATATTATTACTTCGCAATATCATATAACCACTTTCGATTTCGGGAATATCGTGAAATAAGCACGGTGGAACCATGAAATATTCGAATGTTCCAAAAAATGTATTGGTTGGAATAGTAAATGGGTATTTTGGTGTAGCAGGATGGGCTCGAAACAGGTGTCCTGTAGATTCTGAAAGGGTGAAGTATTCCTTTAACTGAGAAGGATTTGGACGTAAAGACGTGTCCATATACATGACAAATCCTACTTCTCTTAACAATTCCTGAAAATATACAATATATTGTATTAACTTAATAAATCATACTTCAATAAAACAAATCGCTAAACTATTAACCTAATAGACCGAGAGCTAGCTCAATTTATTGAAGTGGGGGAAGAAAAATGGTTTGATGGCTATTGAATATGATGGCAATAATAATATTAATAATAATTATAAAAACTTTATTAGAAACCCAGTTGCACATGACTATTTTCCCTGGGATCTTTCTACTGCAACTATAATAGCATATTTACAAAATGATAACGTAATAAAAATAGGAAATGGATGTTTGAAAATTAAAGGTTACAATAACATTATGTGCTAAAGTAATCTTTACTGTTGTAATTCCACATCCGTTTTTGCAGATGATAAACATTAATTAAAATAATGTCTTCGAAATTTAATTTTTTGCACGAAAAATCGATAAAAAAGATAAAAGTATCAAATATAAACTGACAAAACTTGTAGAAGTTGCCAATTTGTTTTTGTTATAAACAAGTAGTTTGAGACTTGTAGATCGAATATGCTTAATAGTTGTTATCTCCCTTGAAGGCGTCGTTACACAAAATTCAATGAAAACTCCCAGACTCATACACAAGTTCAGTCTGGGCGTAAGAGACTAGGTCAGAGGGGGTAAAAAGTCATTATTTATTCAAATATTGTGAGGGATTACTAAAATCGGTACCATTTTGAAGCTAGAGAGTGAGAGTGTCATTGCCGCCAGCAAGCATTTCATATTTATCGAAATTTCATTTGAAGTTGAATGACATGGCAAAGATGTAGTAAATAAAGTGGACCAAAAGCCACATCTAAAGTTTGGTCTGTAATCCTGTGCAACGCTGTCTCAGTGTACACGAAGAAAAACATGACACAAAAATAACTGTTAATCTAAAGAAGACATACTCCTTACGTATATCAGGTTGAGAGCAGAATTCTATTCCAGAGCCCAGATATCATATCACATATTAACACAATAAAAAGATCGCATCGTATTTAAAGGGATTGTAAAAGGTTTTCGACCCTTTTTATGTGTATCGGGGACACATTTGACAATCCAATCCTCGCCTGGTGCTCGTGGTTCCTGCAATTGCAGAAAGAGAACCAAACCACAATAACGTAATAAAATGTTATCTACCCTGGATTCATTTCTAAACTAGAAATTGCAGACTCATTCATTTTTCTTCACCGTTACCTTATAAAACTCTTTACTATGTCTTATATTGCTTAGTGTTAACAGACTGGAAGACATAATAACATAAAATGGCTAGAAAACCTCTTTAAAATCCCTTTAACAGTATTTTAAATCAATTTGATGAAAAATTTATTACTTTTGTAGAGATAATCAAATAATACAAATAAGCAATGCAATGTCAATCTTGTTTAGATTCAATTTCTACCAATTTCACCAACACATATGGTATGTAGTGGTTGCTTTGTATTGGACCCGAATGTGCAAATATGATATCTGTGCTAGACTGTAAATGGTTTGCTGTGTTGTTGATGGCATACATTTATTACATTATTTTGTCAATTATTTGGGGATGTCGAATGCAGAAATTTTTAGAACAGATCTTACCATTGTTTAACAGCTTTGACGTCAAAAACTTCGTTTAAACCGAATTTATGTTAGCCTATGTTAAAATATTCAACTTTACCTGTATAATAACAGGTTTCCACGAACAAAGATGTAATATTCTAAAATGTGGCGGGAATCTGTTGAAATCAAATCGTCTCATTTTAACTTTTCCATAATTCAAAATCTGCAAACAAAATTTTATAATTAATAATTATCCCTACAATTTTAAACCAAAGAATCATATCTGAATTTTCCAAGTTTTAAGAACGGTAGTCTACAATTTTTATTATTATAAAAGCTTTGAAAATACGTTGTATTCCATCAAATACATTTAATCAAATAGAATCCGTCAAACCCAGATACATTCGTAACTTTCCCTATATACCATTTATATGGTTTTATTTTAAACGAATTAATCTATCGACAGCCATTTAAACCTGTGTGCGCAGCCAAAAGTTCAAGAGACACAGATTGATAATAACAAAACGAAGGCTACGATGATACCCAATACATTTTACGATCAAATGGCTGCGAAAAGTCCATATTATAAATTATAATATCATAAACAGTGACGTTCCAATCGCAGATAAACACTTCACTTTAATACAAAAAAGGGGTAATTTCTGTCCTTACCAGATTTCGTTCCTGTTCATTTAGCCCAATATCGTAAAATACCACTTGTATATTTGGAAAATATCGCCGTATTTTTGTATCAATGTGAAGAAATAAAGCTTGTAATTCAGCGAAATGATTGGAAGATGCAGCACACACAATTGTTGGTATGTTTGACTTGATTGTTCTTCTAACATACCCTGGAATTTCTAAGTCCTCAACTTTCTTTGTCCGATGTGGAAATCCAAGATCGTATAAGTAGTTTTCTGTTATTTTGTCAGTCTTCATTCGAAGTAAGAGATTCAAATTTTCTTTCAAAGATGAACTGAAGTATGTCTTACATGTTCGGCTTAACCCATGAACTAAAAAATAAGATAGTTTGCCAGGCAAGGTAATATACGCCCACCGGTAACTTTGATTTTCAAAATCTGTCAAGAATGTAGAACTAAACATCAAACACATTTTCAAGGACAAAGGCGATAACTCATAATAAATAATTTTTTTTATCCTTCTGATTTTCAATAGGGTTCATCCTTGGGTGATTACAAACCATTATAATAAGTTTTGTCATAATCAGTCAAAAAATTTGGCTTCTTCTAGAGTGTTAACGAGCTTGGACGACGGACGGCAATAATATACGCCCCCCATTTCATGAATGAATGAATGAATGAATGGAGTTTTACGTCCTACTTTTCTGCACCATGTGGGCTAATGAAGACGGGCAACGCCATGCAGGGTGCAATGAGGGACATTTTGCCAGGACAGCGGCATTAGTCTGCTCTTTTTCGATTTTCAACTGTCGAGGGATCTTTAACGTGCACAGCCTGTAGCACACGGGGCCTCGGTTTATTGTCCCATCCGAACGACTAGACGCTTTTTCTATGTCAGCCCCTCGTACCTGCATCATTGACAGGGGGAAACCGGGTTGAAAAATCCGAAGGTATTATCTGGACTTATGCCGGAATTGAACCCTCGACCTAAAGGTTAGCTAGCAATAATATAGCGTTTGTAGATGATCCTTAGTATTAATATTATCATTACCCATCCAAACAGAAATTGAACGTATTACTTTTCTTTTAATGTTTATTTAATGTTTTATAAATATTTATTTCTACAAAACATAATCATCATCATCATCATCACTCGATATAGTAACTGAGTATTAGCAGGACAATAATATATAAAATTATTCAAATCATTTTGGTTCAAAAAGAAGGTACGCGAATATGCGTTTCTTAAGGGAGATTTTTAACTTTTGCAAAATATTAAACTCACCTTTAAATTCTAATGATTGTTTTAGTTCCATATCTTTAAATCGTATTACTTCCTTTGTTGTATTCTGACTCGCATTAAATTTTGATAGCCTCACTGGCACCTTATAGGCATTTTGATATAATAGACGAATACAATTAAATGTGACGAAACTCAAAGCCAACCAAAACAACACATAACTAAATTTTGAAGGCATCGGATCGCTTTCAATTATGCGCAATATAGTGTTTAAACATTTATTTCTGTATTTGATGTTATAATCTGACTAATGACTAATCTCCCAACTGTCACCAGCTATGCTGAAGCTGTGGCAACTTGATAAGTTAACGAGCGGTTTAACAGAAAATCAACCGCTTGAATGAAGTAATATAAATATTTTCAAGCATCTACACAGATAAACTCACGTGCCATTACATACACATAATGAAATTTTGAAATTGAAAAGATATCCGATCAGGATTTATCAAAATTATACTTGTTCCAGGTAGATAATATTCATATTTTATCGCTTCGTCATTTATTTCAATGTTCAATGATAAGGGGTTGTAAAAACGTAAACGATATTGACGATTATTTACATGCAAGCACATTCGGGGTATATTCTTTAAGTGGTTAATATTTTATTAGGTATCTTGTTACATACCATATTACCCGAGACGGCCTGCCCTAAATATGTTTGAAAAAGACATCTCCGATCTATGCGTTATGCCACATTATCTTATATATCATGACTACTTTCTGACAAAATTGAATTTATTTTCTCCCATTTCACAAATATCAACAATATTATACATTTTCATGTTATTTGTCTTTGGGTTCAGAGAAATGTAATGTTTGGAAATTTTTTTTAATTTTTTCGATATTTTTTAAGGGAATTGGAATATCAGACTGATAGTCTTTGCGTTGATAAAAAATATGCTCTATCGTAAGTTTAAATTGAAAAGAAACTCATTTCCGTTCTAGAAATTTCAACCCCCAAAAGTCAATCATGCTATGACGTCATAGCCGTCCAAAATTTGCCGCTATATTTAAAAAATAATGTACTCTTGGCACAATGCCAGTACCAATAAGTTGGATATTGGTCCACAAAGATCAAAGGATCACGTCACATCTGTATTATTCTTAAAATACAGATGTAACGTGACGTACCAACATAATGTCATAATGTCACAGACAAATCGCCACGAGTCCAATATTGACATTAATAATGGACTCTAAATATTGGTCCTTTGGCAAGAAAATGTGATCTTTTTATACGCCCACAAAGGCTACAGCTTTTATCTGATCTTGATGAAACTTGGTATACATATATATTGATGAGATCTCGGTCAAGTTTGAATTGGTATTCATCGGATGAACGGTTTCAGAGTTTTTGCCCTTGACTTAGTAAAAATGCGCTAAATTTGGCTTGTATGCACGATAGAGGCTACAGCTTTTATCTGATCTTGATGAAACTTGGTATGCATGTATAAATTGATGAGATCTCGGTCAATTGAAATTGATAATAGGCGGATGAACGGTCTTAGAATAATTGCCCTGGGCTTATTAAAAACTCGTTAAATGTGGCTTGTATGCATGATATAGGCTGCAATTCTTATCTGATCTTGATGAAACTTGGTTTGCATGTATGTATTGATGAGATTTCGGAGTTCAAAATTGGTAATAATCGTATGAATGGTTTCAAAGTTATTGCCCTTTACTTAGTAAAAACGCCTTAATTTTGGCTTGTATGCACTATAAAGTACTATATTTATCCGATCTTGATGAAAGCTAGTATGCAATGTATATATTGATGAGATCTTGATCAAGTTCAAAATTGTTAATAATCGGATGAAATGTTTCAGAGTTATTGCCTTTGACTAACCAAAAATGCGTTAAATTTGTCTGCATGCCCTATGAAGGCTACATATTTTTTCTCATCTTGATGAAACTTAGTATGCATGTATATAATGATGAATTGGTTGAACGATTTCAGTGTTATTGCCCTTGACTTAGTAAAAATACTATCTGATCTCGATGAAACTAGGTATGCATGTATATATTCATGAGATCTCAAGTTCGAAAATGGTAATAATTGGATAAAAGGTTTTAGAGTTATTGGCCTTGAATTAAATCAATGCGTCTAATGTGGCTTGTAGGCACAATAGACTCTACATGGTTTATCTGATCTCGATGAAACTTGGTATGCATGTCTATTGGGACAAGATCTCAGTCAAGTTCGAAATTGGTAACAATCGGATGAACCGTTTTGGTCTTTGATTTTTCTTAAGCTGCAAAGATATTTGTTTTGTTAGGACTTGACGTTAATACACGAGACACTTGACGTCGAGATCGTCTTTATTGATACGTTTTGTATTTTAGCTGGAATTCGTTTGAAGATTCAACTTTTCACCAAAAGCTTATAAAGATCGATTTAACAATGAAATAGCGATGTCAGATTGTAGTTTTGATTTAACACACTCATTAAGGACGTTTTGACTTAAAGTTAGCACGTTTAAAGTCACACCAACTGTTATAAGTTATAATTAAAACTTCCGCCATTGGACTCGTGGATCAGATGTTTGGATGAGGTCAATGGAGACTTTTTCACAAAAATCTCAAAATTTCGGGTTCAATTGATGCAACATTTGATGGAAAAGCTTCTCTGTTTTCTCAGGGTGGCCTTACAATCATAAAAATTATCTTGTCGGCTAAATTGGGCCTTTATAATGAATCTTAAATCTTACGAATTTCTTCGTTTGTTGTTATTTAACTAGGTTCAAATTGCAAAACGAATAAAAACAATAACTTTTAGGAAGGAACTAACCAATAATAATTTGTTTTATCGGATGGTCTCTGGTATAATTGCATAAAACTCTTTCTGTAATATTTTGAATGGTGATAATATTTAAATTCACTTGACTTGAATCTATAACTTTGTCGGGTTTAAACGGGCGTTAGCTTGGTTCACTAAACGCGGCAACTGTATTGTTGATATTGGTATTCTAAATTGATAGGACGCCACTGTTTACCAATGGGGACGATAGCTACATGTTGATATTTTTTGGCAAGCAACCTGGCCTATTTTCAATCTGTTTTCAACTTGATGAGGTGTTCTCTCATCAGCCATTTTGAATTCTTATTAGGATATTTTTTTCTATTTCATTGAGGCTTTCTGAAATTCATGTTTCGAGAAATATTTGAATTTTGTGACCCTCGAGCAATTGATTATGTTACGATCGAAGTATAGTGTTGGAATATGAAAATTGCTTGGTAACGGACAAGGTGATTCGTGATGAAGATGACACAGTTTGATATAATTCAACTTACAGGCATTGTTTTTTATATATTAGTTGGTTAGTAGCTTTTTTTATATTTTTTGTGAAAGTCAATTGGGTGTGTAAATATTTATTTTTTTAATTATCTATTATCATCTATGATCTGTTAATATGTATACAGTTTGAAAAGTTTGTCATGATCCAGCTACTGTCGAATATTCTATTGATCTGTTTTAGTCTTCGGAGTTTTGTGAAAAGTATATTCATATATGTATATACCAAGAGTTTGAAAAAGTGTCCTTTTGAGTAAAAAACGCCATACAAAATGTCACTTAATGTTTCAAATGGTTATCAGAAGAAATTATGGACGAAAAAATTTAGCAACTGGAAACATAAGTTTCATGAGCCGTATGACCGGTACATGCCTTTAAAATTGTTATGAACACAGTTATACAGCTGCAGACTATAGACAGAATATCCCGGCCCTTAATATTCAATTCAACTGACGGAACATTTACTCTTTCCCGATTCTGGGAAACCATTTATTGTGTAACCTTAATAGGATCGCTGTGTTCTCCAGTATTTCGGTCTAATTGCATGCTTCCCCACCATCTTCTCTCTTGATTTTTCTTTGGTTGACTTATTGATGATTGTAAAGATATAATTTTTTCACCAAACATTTTAATCATTCGGGTTGCTTTTGAGATAGAGTGCAATTAATTTAACACGTTTTCTTTCAATTGAATTTGTTTGTCTGAACTCTTTGTACCTTAATCCTTTTTATATGATAGGATGCTTTGCTAAATGGTTTAAATGTTTCTTACTTTTTAAGATGAGGCCATGGGCGACACGGCATCCAAAAGGAATGTAAGAACATTTGGCCAGGAAATGGCATATTTTTTTATTTCCAGATGTATAGGGATTGCCCATTTTTCATTGTAAGCCCCTCTAATCTGCACCAATACCTATTCTTGCTAAGCTGGAATAGAAACTTTTTCATATCATCTTTTATTGTAATATCATTATGTGTTGTGGTTCTCCTATACCAGCTATGTAAATGACTGACTGACTTACTGACTGCACATTCCAGCTTGGTTATGTGATTTCGAAAGAGTACCTTCTAAATATTGATTGCATAAGGTTAAATTTTGTAAACGTGTCACGTTCAGTAATAAGTAATCCAGGTAAACATTTCACTTTGAAATATTACCTCTCCTCTTTTCTAGTCGTTTAAACGTTTCTATTTGATTTGTGACTATTTTACGTTTTTGTCATTCTCGTTAATTGTGTTTTAGTAACTAAAGGTCAATTTATACCTTTAAAGGTAAACTGTAAGCAATCATGTTTGTTTGTTTTATGCTTAATGTGGCCACCATTTTCAGCACAATTCGCCCGAAAACCGCTTTTCCGTGAAAATTAATGTGTTTTTCTCTAGCCGACAAAATTTACTGTGGAAACCCAATGTAAAATTAGAAAATTCATGAAACTGGAAAAACAATATTTTGTCTTAAATAAAGTGTCATGAAAATGATGGCCTCGTTGAGCATAGTATTGTATTTCGGGGGTATTTAAAAGTGGTTCAATTTATCAAGCTGTAATTTGCTGAAAGATATCTTTACCTCTATAACCATTAGGTCTAACAAAATATAATGGTCTTAGCTCTGATACTTTGAATATTATTCTTGTGTTAATTGTAAGAAAGAAAAGAAATGTAACCTGTGTAAATGTGGATTTTTTTATGGGCAACACACGACATAATGCAGTTTCGCACAAAAATTCCTGATTCGTTAATTATGCGAAATACGTTTGGTGATGTATACGTTCAATCAATTAGCTTTACCAATTACTAAACAACAAATCCAAATCCGCTACATATTAGACTTAATGATTAAAGCCATGTTCGTTGTTCTGACAAGGTGCACCTCTTACGTAACCTACACTTATTTCATTTCTATAGATTGGAAAACACGCTACACTACAAATATAGTCTGTATAAAGCACATCTTTAAAATGAAGTTTAGGTCAATTAAGTTACTCTTATCTCAATTTAAACATTGGTTTGAGTTTTGTAAACAAAATACAGTGGACTGTATTAGCAACAAATGTAACTTTCAAACAGACCAGACTACTAATAACTCTCCTTAAACGTATCTATACATTTAGATCAGTGGCAGAGCACATAATTATGTTTTGGGAGTACATACAATGTTTTATTTTTATTTTTTTTCCTGCTTCAGATTGCCCTTTTGAACACTTCCGAATACTATTTATATCATAATTTGGCACCATTAGACTTAATTATGGATACATTTTTTTCAGGTCATATTTCTGATAGTTTTTATATAGATAATAAAGAAATAATGAATAAAAATATTAAAGTGCAATGGAATCGACGTTTCAAATGATTTTATATCGGAAGAAATATACAAGATAAAATTTTGCAACTTGAAATAAAATAAACGTGTTTATTGTACCACGTGGACGGTGGTTTTGGAAGAAAAATGTGCAGCTGTGATTACGTTGAATCGTTCGATAGACGGTTGTAGATAATCAAAGTCCGTGGTCTAAGATAGAATGGTTAAGGGGTGTGAGAATTTTAGGCTCCAGTTTGTCCTAGTGGGGGCCTTACAGTATTTTAATCCCCAGTAATTAGTTTAATGACTTACGTGTTGTTTAAAGCTTTCCCAAAACAAATAAATACTCTTTGCGGTTTCTGGAGACCAGTGAAGGTTGGTAATTGGTTCGAATTCTTCTTGGTAAGATGGTAGGATTGCATTGCATCGGCGATTCTACTAGAATTTCTTCGTAATTCTTTTGAAGATTGGTATACAGATAAATACAGATAACATGACTGGTTTAGAATCATGGTCGTAGCCTTCGACGAATGACTGGATGTGATGGATTTGAGTAGAAAGACAAGCCCATTTCTAAGCATTTTAACTTGGACGCCGTTCATCAGATGATATTATTCTAACCCCCTAATGAGCGCATAGTAATTGACCTGCAAAAAGATGAAACTACTAAATTCCGTCAAGCTAGGGAAGCCCATTGAGACGCTAAATACAGCCAGGAGGATAGGACTGAATAGTCATCACAATACAGGCATAGCTCCCTTTGTTGTCCCGTTCACTACCACTAGCAATCGAGCAAGTAAAATACTCCATGCCAATTATGAGAGCTTCGAGAGAAATTCCCCCCGTGTCTATAAACAAAAGATGATTGTTGCCTATTCAAAAAATCAGATCTTAAATTACAACTTTGTTCATAGCAAACTAAAGCCCATCAGTATGTAACCATGTAACCTGTCGCCTTTTGGGCGAGTTATCATTTTATCTTATTTTCAGTTTCACCCCCCCCCCCCCCCCCCTCCCCATCCTTTTTTTTGTTCCATTCTCGGCCTGCGCATTTGAGAGAATCCAATCCTCATTCCCCGAAAATTAATTAATGATGTTTGAAAATAAAATTAAGAAAGCAAAAAACTTACATCGATAACATTAGTTAGTCAGTTAACATACTATGTACGGGAAAAATTACAAAACATATTACAATAAGAAATGATCTAAATACTTTCAAGTTTCCATTTCTGCATGGCTAGAGAGAGCTCCTTTGAATCAGGTATCGATGCAGACTTACAATGAAATTGTCATTTGTACAATAAAACGCGGATTGTGAACAAGAGGGTATTCCCTTAGGAAAGACTACCACTTTTTAGCCAAATGTTCCTTATTCTCCTTGCACAGCATGCCCCGTCACACAAATAATTTACCAAATCGTTCAATCGTATGATGAAAATATTAAGGTACAAAATGTACCACGAGGTTCAATTTTCAGAGGATAGATGATAAATGCATTGCACTCCGTCTCAAAGCATTCCGAAACATGCCATTTTGGTGAGAAATTGTTACTATATCTCTATAATCATCAAGACTTGTAGTGGGAGAATTGGTAGTAGGAGATGTTGTTGGACTAGTGGTTAGACTGGTAGAAGGGACTGGTTGTAGAAGATATTGTCAGACTGGTAGGTACTAGGCGATGTTGTTTTAGAAAAGGACTGATAATAGGAGATGTCGCTAGGCTAGATTGGTAGTAGATGATATTTTGGACTAATTTTAGCGTAGGTTGTAAGATTAGTAGTAGGTAGATGACAAGTTAACGTTCGCTTCCAGCGGATGCTGATATCGCAAACTAGGTAGCTGTTGGTAGTCGTAGTAGTTGGTAGTTGGATTGGATCAAATTGGATGATTCGGTGTTGTGGGTTTGGTTGTTGATTCTTCGTTAGATCTGGTCGGGTCGAATGACATGGCGGTGAAACTCGGCCCTGGATGGTGTGGCGTGAGTTACTCAGTTTAGTAGTAGGTGATATTTTGGACTTGTATTAGCGAAGGTTGTAATATTGGTTGTAGGAGATGTTTTGGACTAGTATTAGCGAAGGTTGTAATATTGGTTGAAGGAGATATTTTGGACTAGTATTAGCGAAGGTTGTAATATTGGTTGTAGGAGATGTTTTGGACTAGTATTAGCGGAGGTTGTAAGATTAGTACTATGTGATATTTTGGACTAGTATTAGCGTAGGTTGTAAGATTAGTACTAGGTGATATTTTGGACTAGTATTAGCGAAGGTTGTAATATTGGTTGTAGGAGATGTTTTGGACTAGTATCAGCGGAGGTTGTAAGATTAGTACTAGGTGATATTTGGGACTAGTTTTAGCGTAGGTTGTTAAGATTAGTACTAGGTGATATTTTGGACTAGTATTAGCGAAGATTGTAACAATTAATTTACATTTTGCTATCGATTGTTTTTATCTTAACATATATCCCAACGACATTTTAATATAATCGTTTCATGTGTCAGCTGGAATAACGTTGTCGTTAAATTTTTTTTGAAGAAAAAATCATCTGCCATCCACGTTTTCTTTTCCACATAAAACCCGAAATATTTCATAGTCAATTGATTATTTCGATTTTAAGAGTCGCTCTTTAATTTTTTTTTAATGAAAAATTTACAAATACCTTACCCATAACATTGATAGATGTTAATTTGACTATACAAATATGCCAGTTACGAATTATAGTAAATCTGTCAACATATAGAAAAAGTGCAATTAGAGTAGTTTTACACCATTTAGACTACCTTTATAGATCATTACAACAACGATATGTAAAATGTGGAAAATGCATTAAATAAGGTTGTATGAAATGTCATATAATCCTTTTTTTCTTTTTACATTGCAGTGACTAGAAATGGAGAGTGCGGTAATGTAAATAAAACAAATAATCCTGGTATGTTTTAAGAATTCAACACACAAACAAATTCACCTTCATTAGAAACAATTCCGATGCTTTAGCAATGATGGCTAATATTTACTAACAAAATAATATCGGTACACATCGCCGTGTAACTCTGAATACTAAACTTTATTGGAGTTTAGCAATACTTTATGTATTTGCAGATCAGATTGCTATTTATTTCTGCAGAATTCTGAAAAGAAATCATTGGTTATAGAACGTTGAGATGCGTACTTTCAGAGGGGGCTATACAATAGAGTAGGAAAAAACTATTTTTAATCATTTTCATAGTAGATATAAAGTTGAGACTGAGTTTTATAGGGTCTAAGTTCTTCGGGCGTTATAATTCCCTTATTACCTTCCATTGTTGTAAATTTATTATATTATTTGTTTAAGGTAATGATTTTACAGCAAGTGCTCGTATTAGCGATAACACTGGAGGTATAGGTTCTTTCGTTCCTACCGACACATTGAATAACTCTACTCAATGTGATGAGCGCAATGAAGATAGCTGTGATATTACTCATTTTGAAAGGTGTTCCAAGGATGGATTATGTAAATGTCTTAGGGGATATCTACCTAATAGAGAAGATAACAAGTGTGTAGGTGAGGATAGTTTTAATGCATAATGTTTGCATACACCATCTGCAGTAGTGGGGCGCACCCCTATTGACTGTACTATATGAATCCGTGTAGCAAATACCTAAAAGAAATCGGAAAGAACAATGCAATAGATATTCGTATATCAGGTGGTTTTGGTGAATCATTCAATTTTAGTATGACAATCATTTCTTTAAATGAATACTTGCATGATTAGTGTCACAAACATCTGTAGCTCGATATCAAAATTACATAGCTTTTTACCTAGATCTAGCCGCAACATTTAAATTTTACTAATACAAGAACACTTTTGTAGACTTAATATGAAGTGATGTCCTTCGGCTTAACTTGAAAGAGCTATTATCGTTAAGTCATCATGTGGAGTGTTTTTGCTCATTATGGGATAGGACACTCACAAGAATATATTGCGATCGACTCTCAAATAATGTATTTTTGTAGCTGCTCAGTTTTTCCGAGGAGAAATACCATTAGATAAGAATAGCTTAGACAAATATGGAGATAAAAACACGCTTAACTACGAGATTAGACAAGTCGTAAGTAGATTCTTGAACTGAAGTAAGCGAATATGAAATGCCTCATTGATTCCTCCACTTTCCTTAGTTTCCTCTCTAGGATGGCTTTTCACGCTGTCACAAATATTCAATGAAACATATCTGAAAGCTATGCGTTGGTATCAGTTAAAACCAGTCAACATATAAATACAAAAGAGACACGCAAAAATTACAATTAGCAAGTCTACTAATGCAAATTTTAACTTACTCTCTGCTGTATATGAAGTAACAGACAGTCGGGAAGTAAAGATTTCCTTATTACACTAGTATGATTTTAGACAAATCTTCCAGTTATTATGTTGTGCATTGTCTCAATTGCATTTTCTCTTACTATGACATCGTTTCAGTTATTTTCAGGGTTTAGTAGTCAAGGTTTAACAGGAATATTAGATATAGACGTTATTTCAATGTCAAAAAAAGATGGCAATGTAGTATTTGAAATCGCCCTGAATAAAGATACAGCACCTCGTAGACAGCAATTACAAACCATGTATAATAGAGGACTGACTGCATCGGCATATGTAGACATTGATGGAATGGTCAAATTAAGTGGTACAAATTTAGTTCTTGGTCAGAATGTCAGCATGTCACAATATTTGAAATTGTTATCTGGTAAGAATAATCATAATCCTTTCTCTATACAGTCATGTGTTCAGCTTCTTTTTCCTGCTTTCACAGATTTTTCAATCTAAAATCTTGCTTTAAATTTCAAATGTCGGTATTTTTTTTATTTTGTGAAATTATCATTACATATTTAGTTTGTCACGTTAATATTTAAAATGGGTTGATATTTAATTTTTTGAATAAAAATCGTTGTAATTACCATACATATCGCAAAGAATAACGATTTTAATTCATTTCAGAATTTAGTCACTGTGTCGACCCAAATTATAATTATTGTGATTTAAATGCCAGATGTACACACAGTATGAGGACATTCACATGCCAATGTGAGGAAGGATTTGATGATTTTTCTCCCGATATTTTTAAAGCACCAGGAGAAAACTGCAAAGGTTGGTGAAAATACGTTATTAATGATCTCAAACCTGATATTACCATGAGGTTTCCACTGCGCTATATACTCACTTATAATGATACAACAAAAGCTTTATTCTCTGTTTTTATTTATTTATACATACTTTAACCTTTGTTTTGGTTTTCCTGATTTGTGATATCTTTTTGAAAAGATACCAATATTGGTGTAGTCAATATAGTGTAATCAATATGCTTCTTTTGTATCAATCTGTAAATGATACTTGCGCAAATTTTTCATTTTGGTATTCGGTATTAAATACTGCTAGGAAATTTCCACTAAAACGCACAAAATTTTATTTTCACTGTATTTTCTATATAGGCCTATTGTGAACATTAAAAACGAGTCTCAGTAATTTAGAATAGCAAAGTTTAAAATGAAAGGAAAATGTCATGTTGAATCACTGAGGCTCGTTTTTAATGTGACGATTCATTTAAGTGGGGCGATATCCTCCAATTATACGTCCCATCAGCCATAACAAACAAAATTTGACTGAAACTTGAATTGATTGTAAGTGTTGTCAAAGTTCACATAATATCAAGTTTGTCTTCCCATAGCAAGATGCCCATGCACAGCATAGATGATCAATTGGTATGTTGGGTCTAAAATCTTTTTTTGATGCAACTGTATACTACTAATTTCAAACAATCGCGAAAGCAACTTGTCCCAAAATTTCCAACATTATTTTAATTTTGGCATAATATGACTCCAGTCCGGTGTAGATATACATATCCGCATCATCAAGGCTAAACTGCAGAAAACCAGCTCCATGTGGTTTTGTATAGAGGTATCCATTGATATCACTGGTGAAGTCTCCTCCAGTTGGTGAAGTACATCTGGCAATTCAAACCATGGCTTTCTGCATAAATTTATCAAATTAATAATCACAGTCATGAGGTACATAGAATCAACCACTATAACAAAAGTAATAACGTTATATATCGTTTAATGCAAACCATTCTTATCTCATGCTCTTGAAAATCAAGATCCCAAATACCCAAGCTTGGTTAGTATGTTTACAAAACATCCATATTTATACCTGAATCTCTTCCTATGCACCAACATCTGCCACCACCTGGAGTCGCTCTTAATTTTCTTTAAGCCTCGGCTTTTGTCTCCCTTCTGATTAATCTGTCTTCTCTATCTATAATGCATGAATCAGTACTCCATGGGAAAATGTGTGGAATGTATTTAATTATCTTTGAAGTAGAACTGCACCATAAAGATTTGTCCAATATATGCCTTTTTTGCTTTTGCTATCCCTCATTTTCTGTCGGATTATTAGGAATATGACAAATGGGACTTGACCGGTGATACAGTAGCAAAAACAAACAACGGCTCGGAAGACAAACCATTTTTGAAACGGTAGTACTAATTTCGATTAAATATGAAATATCAATAATGTAATGTTTTAACTGATGTTAAATTAATATTCCAGTATCATGTAAGTGTGAAAATAATGGCACGTGTAGTGAAGGAGATGGTGTATCAGCTTGTGTGTAAGTAATTTGAAAATAACTTAGTATTTTAACTAGGAGTTAAATGTTATAGTCGGTAACAAGAAATTAATAGTAAATCATTTTTTTAAGATATTTAATTTCTCTACGTTTCAGATGCCCAGAATGGTATATTGGAACAAACTGTGAAATCAATGGAAAAGGTCATAAATCAATTTAATTTATCATCAAATCATCTTTAAGAAATATTAATGTTTATTCAGAAAACTTATCGTAATTTTCTGTAGACAACTATCACATGCTGTATGTTTGGAATTAAGTTGAATTTTTTGTCTTAAAATGGACAAAAAAACAATTCATGTATATATGAAAAACTTGATAAAAACTGAAATTAAAAATAGATTATATATAAATATAGCTGCCTTGCATACTAATATCAGACATGTTAACGGGTAATTCACACATGCTAATGTCAGACATGTTGATAGGAGGTATTTTACTCACTAATAAAAGACAAGTTGACAATGTTGTACATGATAATATCAGACATGTTGACGGGATATTTTACATGTGAATATCAGACATGTTGACAGGGGACATTAAAGATACTAATATCAACCATGTTGAAGCGAGATATTTTAATACTAATATCAGACATGTTGACGCGAGATGTTCTACGAACTAATATCAGACTTATTGAAAGGAGGCATTTTACATACTTATATCAGACTTGTTGACGTGGTATTTGACATGGTAATATCAGACATTTGGACAGGAGATATTTTACATACTTATATCAGACATGTTGACAGGAGGTATTAAAGATGGTATCAGACATGTTGACAAATGCTACTGACAGACATGTTGACAGGAAGATATTCTGTTTTTTATAATTTGTTGTGCTTTAGATATTGTTAAGCTTCATGTATGATGTACAAAATTGACCCACCCTTACTGGGACCTGTTTCACGAAAACTAATGTTTTAGTACTTGATTTTAAATCAAGCTGTATCAACCACGTTATAATTTGGTAAATCACTTCCCTAGTTATTTCTGTATTATTAAAACTAGTTGCCTTTTTTTGCTTTGCAGAATTATTGATTATATGTGCTAGCGTATTAGGAGGTCTGCTTATTCTAATTTGTACCCTATGCTGTATTTGTGTGTGCACTGTAAAAAGACGATCAAGGTAAGTTGCTTTTATCTCCCCAATCCTTTTTTCTGCAGATCAGAATCATTATAACATGTTCACAATCGATAAAGCCCATTTAGGAAACCATGTATTTTTTTTCTTTTGTTCTGACCTAATTTTTTTAATTCTCAATGATTTCAGGAAATCCAGTAAGGCTAGTTCAGTTGGTATGGGTAGCAGTCTTGACACTAGTGTTGTGAAATTACCCAGAGTGTTCATGGATGGCAACAGGCCTTATGATATACCAATGCATGATAAAAGACGATGGAGTTATGTTTCAGAGCCAGTAAGATATGTAGATGACTATGTTAGTATTTGTTTTTTGTTCATTTAAAAACGTGTCCTTGTTCTTTGTGTTTCTGGTGAAAACTTTTGTAAATGTCAGGGGATTTCGCAAATGGTTTTTTTAAAACGTCGAATGCTCAAAGTCAATCTATGTCAGTCTGTCCATCAGAAATTTCGATACAAATAATTTAAATAGCGCTGATATTTTGTTAATAGATGATGGATGATTATGTACATGCTGAAACTTTACCATTACCGAGACCCGATGGAACAAAACGTGGGTTTTACAATGCATACCAAGTAAGTATGATTTTTATGCCCTGTATAGAAATTGAAAGTGAAATTTTTAGTTTGAGGTATATTAGTAGATTTTCGTGCAGTTCTAGAACTTCTGAAGGCTATTTACATTTTTTCAAAACCCAAATAATCCCCGACATTTTTCATCAAAGACATGTAAAAATGTACTTAAAAAAGGAAAGAAAGAAAAAACGATTTTTACATGGAAAACAACTTGGGTTCCTTTCAAACTTGGCTTAAACTGATATTTTTGGAAGTATACGACGCAAACTGAAACAGAATTCTCCCCCAAAACCCTTCTCATGAGGCGAGCTTCGTATTCCGCTGAGCGGTTAGCTTTAGGGAAATCAACCTTAATATTCAAAATATTCTTTGGTGGACAGAGGCGGGGGAGAATCCCCCTTAATCCTCATCAACAGGCGTGCGCTATGTGCGCTTTCGCCGGATGCGAATGAGTGCTATGAAAAAACAATTTCAGAACACCGTCGCCCACCCCTCCTCCTCAACTAGGTTTTCTTCCTACGGACATCTTTTTATAAGTGATTTTTTGCACTTTCATTTCAGAACAATGCCTACATCAGTACATCTAGAATGCCACAGTTTCATTGAATTGAGTTTGTGGGTGATATATTTTTATATGGAAGCAAAAGTGTAATCGTACCAGGTTATCAAAGATTATGGACATAGCACCTAATGTTGTAGGGCATCTCCATAATGTCAAGCTATTGCGAACTTCTTCTTATGCCTTGACTGCAATAGCAACCTTTATTGTGTCATGGAATGCGGCGATTAGATTGGATGGTACGGCAGCGAATAGTAATAGCTTGACATTGTGAAGATGGTTCTAGGGATGATGTAGAATGTATTTATTTGTACAGAATTTAAATAATACTTAACACTGTATGATGTCTAATGAGGGTGGTATATTTTTGTTTATAGAACTCTTATATTTGCACACGGAAAAGAATAGTTTCATTTTTTCTTTCAAACAGTATAAAGGGATAAATTTTTAATCAACAACGGCCATGTCAAAGTTTTTTTTTTAGACGTTATCGCGGATATATACATTTCATAGAATCATATCATGTAACATAAATGACATTTCATTATTTTTGGTATGCCTTGCTCCACACAATGTATTGAATTATATGAGTTCAATGTTATGTGAACTTTTTCTTCAAAACTTTTATACATCTTTTCAGGATGTATTGTATTTTTTTACATTATTTAAACAACCATAGACCTGTATCTTCACAATAGTTGGTCAAAATAAGTCGAATGATCGACTTCACAAATGAAACGAAATGTCCCTTATCTTTTTTTAAAGTTTCAATCAAAAATATACAAATGGACTTAAACCTTAAAAGTTCCTACAAAGGTCAAGGTCAGCAATGGTCAAGGTCAAATTTAAAAATATAAAAATTCTAAAACCTGTTCCTTTTTTAACTACAAACCTGAAAGAACTGAGCTTTTAATAAAGACTGACCAAACCAATAAGATTATTGTGTGCAAAGTCCTCTTGAAAACAATTGTAGTTTAAATGAGTTTTGCTCTTACTTAAAAATGTTAAAAAAATAATAATTTAACCCGGATGTACCATGCCCACCATAAGGTTTTTGTAATGGTTTTATATATATATTCAAAATGTCTAGATAAGTTTGAAATTTGAAGCCTGTAGATCACCAGATATAAATACACCCATTTCAAAGAAGTGAAAATTATGTAAATAACACTCAATTTAAAAAAAAATCATAAATTGTCACTTTAAAAACAATAAAACTTTTGTAACATATAATGATGAAGAGCTATAAAGAAAACACAGGCAACTGCTGGCAAATGGAATTTTTTAAAGTAGAAAACGAGCAACTGGTGGAAACTGGGACAGTCACGGAACGGATCTAGTCAACTTTCCTTTATAAAGTAGAAAACGGGCAACTGGTGGAAACGGGACATTTCAGTCGCGGAACGACACATGATTTTACAGTCGTCTGTGCATTCAGGTCGACTAAATCCAGAAATTGATCTGATTCTTCCAGTGGCCAGCCTTCGTGCATTTAGGATTTGTTGTCTTGATCCGTTTAATGAATAGATGTAAAGGGAGAAAACTATGATCAACTGTTTCACGATGGCATGCTTTGATTGGGATGAATTAGGCGATATATTATTCTTTATACATTTAAAAGAAGCTGATAAATTCGGGAATCCCCATTGGTGTCAATACATATTTATCATTTATCATAATTTGCGGCGCTATCCAAAAAGATGTCGGAAAAGGCCAACTCGTGCGCTTGAAAGTTAAACCAATCAAGCTGTTATTTCAAGTATGCTTCGGGACCTGTCACACAGACGATAAAAGCAAGCATATACACCCTGAGCATTGTCGAATAGACTACAGTACATCGCATACGTTATGGGTAAGCTTTGTGTCAGCTAAATAAAAAAACTGACGCAAGCTGGGAAGAATAAGAAGAGAACGTATAAACATTTTTACTTGAACAAAATTTTCGACGCATACACGGTTATATTCACAACTGATTGGTAGCCTTGGACTTTGTATCTCTGTCGATCTTTGCACCTAGTATATGATATTAATTTTACCATTACCCTTAAACGCTGCCAATACGCGTAACGTAATGTAACGTGGGAAGTGTTCTGTGATCGTTCTCACTGCAAATGCGTCAATATGCGTTTGAAATTAGTTACAACATTGGTTCTACTTGCATTCCGCGTATGTGTGATATACCAGCCGTACGCAATTATGCGTAGAAGATTTTATTCACACATAAAATATTGCAGCCAATGCAGTAATATTAGCTTTTATAAAGAGATATTTATTAGAATTATTAACCTTTTACAGCATATTACGTCGCATATTCTGCGACGGGCTTCAGCGTAATTTTAACTTATACAAAACTAAGCGGCAATCATTACACGAACAAGGCCATGGTGTGACATAAACTTTAAGTAACTAAATAAAATAATAAAAGTCTTGTATAGATTATCGAAAGGTTATATTTAAGTTAATATTTCACTATGTATTCGTGCAATTCGTCATAAATAGAGATACGCAGCCTTGTGTTTTTAGCTTTTGATAAAATGGGCGTGGATTTTTATTGTGTGGGCGTATATCATTGGTGCCATTGCTTGAGTGTTGTACATTCTATAGCGTTGTTTTCGGCCTTTTGTTAGCAATCAAAAACACACCCTATGACCATAAAATGCCATTTCTATATGCCTGTATTAGATTTGAATTTTCAAAATTATATATTGAACAAAGAGTAGAAATTGTTTTAAGGGGGCGACCCTTTTTGCGATGTTGGAATTTTACATAGGGTTTATGTTTTGCACATTAGTTTAGATGGGCATATTTTTTATATTATTTCCTTCAATAAAACTAGTTAAATATCTTGTTAGTAAAGTCATATTTTGACCAAACGGAATTGTTGAAATAATACAAACAACAGTTAATAAAGTAATAATACTATTAAAATGAGTTTTGCCATGAAAGGTGTAATGTATGTCTACATGTATTTGTGTTATAACCTGTAATACGGCACTGGTCGATTACCAGTCTGAAACTTCTGGTATTCTCCTTATCTTATTCACGTTAATTAACTGAAATAGACATATGTCTTCACAAATCATCAATTTACCCTTATTAACATAACATACTTGTCATAATTTATAGGTGATTAAGATTGCCAGAAATGCATTTCTGTCCAGTTTAATTAACCCAGAGAACACTAGTCTATACATATAATATAATAATTTACTAAGCTCATAATCTTCAAAGTTCTGAAGATATGTACCGTTAACAGCTTTTTTGCGCATACATATAATCACCAACAGACAAGACTTGGTCTTTAATTTTCGAATTCCCACTGTCGATGAAACTTTAACCTGTAGGTTTGTCTTTCATGTCAAAATTTTACAAGACTTTCTCAGGTGCTTTAAGTTGCTAGAAGTCATTGCAAACCAAGATTCTGCCAGTCGCAAGATGAACCTGTGTCTACCTTAAGCTAACTTCTGATGGCAATTTGAAAATTAACTTTTTTTTATCATCATAATTTATTATAAATCTGCACGGAAGTTATCGCCAATCCCCTTGCATTAATGGACAATATCAAATAATGTTCAATTGGGCATGTTATTCAGCATGTTATAATTTCGAGTACATTAGTTCGAAATTAAACAAAATGCATCAGAGAGGAACCTGCATCATAATAAATGTGGACTTGTTTTGTCTATCTAAGTGTATAACATCGTCTATTAACATGTACGTTTGAAATCAAGTGCCATGTTACACAGCACCAGTATTTAAAACTTGCCATCTCACATCTGGCTGTTTACATCACGTTTATTCACCACCCGCTTCTCTTTTCTGACCTTTCTTGATAGCTGCCAATCAACACTAGGTAATACTGAGAATATCAATGAAATGTAAGAGGTATTGGAACGTCAGGCCTGTCTGACATTATTTACGTAGATCTTAAATTACCCATCCACAGTTTATATCGTAACCATACAGCCCATTCTTCTTACGTCTGTGCTAAGTTTAACAAGGATTCATCTGGAGATTTAAAAGTCGATTTAAATTTAAACTAACGTTTAGTCATAAATGGATCAATTTAATGATGCGTGATTATATAAGACAATATCTAAGGTATGTAAACAATGCTTATCATTTAAGTTTTCTGGAGAATCGGTGTTTATGGCAATTGAAAGGCGTTTTGGGCTTGCAAAAAAATGTCAGCAGGAAGTATGCAATTTGAATTACTTCTTCACTTTGTCTTGACGTCAATATCTCCAAAATAAAATTAAATGGCATTAATGTGGGGTCAGTCTCTTAATCATCCTTGGCGCTTTAAATCAAAAGCACCTGAATCTAATGAGCCTAAATTGGCTCAATGCAATTTACAATCTGAATGCAATAGTCAATAAATATTCTGCTTTTAGTCAATAAGATTTGGTTGAGCTAAAATTAGATTTGTTTAGCAAATCGGACAGCTGTTTGAAATTGTTCAACCGGTAGAAGAAGTAAAAATTGGTTCAGTAGTTCAAAGGAAATGATATACTATTTTACTTTAATGCCTAGCAACGTCTTGAATTTAATATAATTTTAAAAATACTGTAGTCGAATCTTGAATACTTCATTGAATCGGGAAATTTTAAGCTTCTCTTATTTCCCGTCTGATATTTTTTTGTCCTGTAATTCCATATAAAAATAAATTAAATTTGTGCTTCTGGGATTGCTTAACCTCCGTAATCGGTCGAGGTAGGAATTAAAATGGCTTTTGTCTTCGATCTGTGAATCAGACAGTTGCGGTACCAGTCTTCCAAGACCGGGGTTACAATTGGGAGGTAGACTGCCTTAATGCGATAACAATTGCCGAGGTTGAGATTCAAACTGGGAGGCGCAATAGGCGAAAGCCACACAAAAAAATATTTGAAAAATAGAATTGTTTTTGTTCATTCTGACACATATTTTGGGGCAAATACATAATATAAAAATCATCTTGTTAAATTTGTCAGTAATGAAAAGGTTGTACAAGCCATTTTTCTGTATCCCCACTGGCACCATTACTGCCTTCAAAATCTGTTGCTACACCAACGAAAACGTGCGCGCCATATGATTTCAAACGATTCTGGGATTCAAAAAAATTGCTATGGATTGAGTTGGTCAACATATATATTTCCAGACAGTTTAACATCAACATATACATTTAGTATAACAATTTGTCAATGCCTTAATATACGTGAAGAGCTTAACAGATAAAAAAAAAATACGTTATTTCGTGGCATCTAACAGAAAATAAAATTTAATACTTGTTTAAATTTGTTACCAATTAGTGTCAAAATATCAATGTTTTTGTACCTTTCTTTCAAACACATTCTAGCACTGTTATCTTCTTTTTAGTTATAATGTAGCAATTTTTTTTACTTCCTCTGAGAATACGTATCCTCGACATAAACGAAATTATCTTATCTTCACGACACGACCTACTTGCAACTAACTGCAAATAGGACAATATATAACATCTAAACCGTTTTGGTCTACTTCTTATAAGTATATGGCTGTTGCATTGAAGAGACTTCGAATCTTAAGTGTCTTCCGCCGATATAATTTGAAGACCGTGTCCAATTTCAAATGTAACTTGTTGTAGGGAAATGTTTTAACATTAACTTTTCTACAGCGTTAATTATCAAGTATTCAAAGAACAAAAACTATACCCTCAAAGAATTTCTTTCATAATAATGTTTATTGTTCACCTGAAGGCAATGTTTTGTCTTCTTGGCTCCACAACGCGAAGAAAAAAAAGATATTATTGAGGAAGGTAAAAAGATAAATCTTAATACAGGTGTCTTGCCATGTTAGTTAAGAAAACATACCGTAAATACAAGTAAGTAAATGAAAACAAATTATAATCTATTCCAAACAAAATATCACTTTATTTGCCAAAACGTTAATAGAAATGTAATGAAGATACTCGTTCATGTACATCCTCCTCCATGCGTTCCAATGAAGATTCGTTTTAGGCTAAGCATAGATTTTGTATTTCTGATATACCCACCCTGTGTCCCAAAACAAAAATACCGACTTTGGCAGATGCTCATTAATTGAAAGTTTGCGTATAAAAAAACAGTTCCTTATATATTAGTAAGTATACTGCCAAATGCAAAATATATGTAAGCATTCAAAAATACATGACTTATGTCGTATCGATCTGCCGCCAACGAGATTGGAATTATTATGGTAGGACTATCCAGACCTATTTGTCTTTGAAGATTGATTAAAATTATTAAAGAAACCTAAATTTTATTGAGTTTTATTTATAGTATTCGGAAGTCTTGAAATGCACCGAACCTAATGATTTTCCAGTTGCAATCATAAATAAGATTGAAGTAGGAAGTACAGGTGTTGATTAGGTAGTATTAATTATCAATTAAAAGACAAGAACTAAAGATCCGAACCTTTGGACAAAAGATCTTGCGGGACAAATATATTAAATTTTATAACGTGAAAACATTCTATCATGTCGTTTCCGAAGACAATGGGACAATTTACGAAAAATAAAAAATACGTCTCTGTATCATTAATATCTTTCAAAGATTTTGGACCTTGCCTTTTTTAATCTATTAACATTACTATTTACAGGTGAAATGGTTAAATGAATCTAATGTATTGAATTCAATTCAAGTATAGGATGGAGCAATCGATAAAATTCATCATTTCGCTGATCTGCCTATTACTGGCTGCTGGCTTTTATTTTGTGGCATTAGCTACATCCTATTGGTCTGTTGGAAGGTTGTTAATATTTGGTTTATGGCAGTATTGTTACGTTAGTGTAGAAACTGTTATTGTGAAGAATTGGAAGTGCCACCCAAATAATACAGGTATATTAATATATCATAATAATATATCTCTACGTCTAAATGACCCAAAATCTTCCCAGTGAGTGTTTCACATAATACGTGTTTTTTTTTCTTTCGCGTTTTACTTTAACGAACGCATCAAAATTATTTTCTATGCCATCAACTGAATTATAATTTAGTCTTGTTTCAACAAATCCCTTTATCACGTTTACAACTACTCGTGCATATACGGACGATGGTCTCGAAAAGAAAAACCGCATGAAAACAGCGCTTGTCCAGATTAGAGTGAAAATTGTGATATTCTGGAAAACTTAAGAAACTCTTACCAACTGATAAACTATGGGTTCCGGTGAGAAATACACGTCATATAACTGATTTATTGAATGAATGTCGTTTCATTATGGTCTGAGCAAAAAAAATTTCTATATTTGTTTCTATATTTTAAAGAGAATTGGAATATCAACCTCAAATTAGTGTTGTTAATGTTAGAATGTCTTAGCATTGATAAAAGATAGCTTTCCAGGCAAGGTAATATACGCCCACTGACAGCTTTGATTTTAAATAAAAATATTTGGCAGTACAGTAACAATTACAAGTATGAAATATTCAACCTCCAGACATACACTTCTTTTGAACTTTTTGAGGTGATACTGAATAATATTACCAAGTTTCATCAAAATCTATCAAGAATTGGGCCTTCTAGAGTGTTTACGAGCGTTTAAAGACCAAGGGCAATAACTCATACTGGATATTTTTCGATTTTTCTGATTTTCAATAGGGTTCATCCTTGGGTGAATACAAACAACCATACCAAGTTTCGTCGAAATCAATCAAGAATTGTGCCTTGTAGAGTGTTAACGAGCAATTGTGGACGGACGGACATGGGTGACGACAATATACGCCCCCCATTTCATATTTATATATATATAATGTTTTGTGAGTTAATATTGAAAAGAAACACAACACATTTCCTCTCTTGAAATTTCAACCAAAAAAGTCTTAAATTGTGGCTAAAAAATTGTCTTCTATAAAACAAATTATGAAGATATAAAGTGTACTTATGTTTATATTTTGTTTACTTATGTTTATATTTTGTTTACTTATGTTTTTATTTTCATCAACGCAAAGTCATTCTAAGACTAACTGTACTATTTCTTTTTATTGAAAAAAATAAAAAAAATTTTTTTACTTTGTTCAGAAAAATAGATTAAAAATTAAAGGCATCTGGTATGTCGACATTTCACCTGTATATTTTTGACACTCGTTATTGTATGTTTTATTAATAAGTGCATACTAATCATAACATGATTTATGGTAATATAGCATATTATATAGATAGAATAGGATAAATAAAACAACATCTGTTTTATGTACATTTTAGAGTATTAAATTAGACGAGTTTGGTAATATAGAGTTAATTCGAGAAACATTATACTGACACAAGGCATTAGACTTAATTAAAATCCCAGTGCAATGGAAATCACCCACATCGAACTGAATGGTTGCAAAAACTCACCAAAAGATGTATATAACTCAGTGCAATTGAAATCACCCACATCGAACTGAATGGTTGCAAATATTCACCAAAAGATGTTTATGTCAAGTTTCATCAAATTAGATAAAAACTGTACTAGATACCTACAGTATAGCTCCGTCTCTATATGAGCATGTCCCCTGTCAATCCGACAATGTGTTTTATGATGCCATTGCAAAATCAAATTACAAAATCATTCTTTCATTATTGACATTTGAATGGCAAGTTGACCTTTTCTTTTTATTTCAGATTTCACCATGTCAGCCCAGATATTTTCAATTCTAGCTGTGATGTGTTATCTTGTTGCATTTTTACTTTTCATGATATCTGCTTTTATTCCATCCAAAAATAAATCTAGACCAGTAATCATGACCATCTGCCTTCTAACGTTCTGTATAGGTGAGTAGTAACAAAGATATATAACAGTGGGAATCTTGATCGGTGTTCAGTGTGTACAAAGACTATCTTCTGGATTTTTAGGCGTTCATATATCACATTGCAAAGCCAACAAAATTGCACTCTGTTCAGTCGTTACACCATCTCCCCCAACCCCCTTGTGCTTTGTAAACATTTAGTGGTCTTATTTTACTTGTCTTAGTAATATTTTATTTCCAGTGAGTCTACAGATCATGTCAATGGTGGTATTTGCAGTGAAAATAAATGAATATTTTAGAAAAATTCAGAATAAACATTTTGAAAATGAATTTGAAACAGTGACGATTTCCTGGTCTTTTGTGATAGGGATTGTATCAAATGTGATATGTACTGTTTCGGGGGTGTGTATATTTGTGGACTTGAGAAATCTTGCCATTGACGAACTAGATGGTCTAAATGACTTAAATGCATAAATAAAGAAATTATACCAATGTGCGGTCTTACGGTTAATCATGATGCCAACTCGAATTTGCTTCGTGCATAGGTTTTTTCATATTTCAAAAGTAGAATCGGCATCATGCCAATTTAACGAATGGAATTGTTTAGTGACAGAAAGGCAGTGTGATCATCAAAACAATATATCTAACAATATAGTTTTTACCATAATATACGCTAAAATGACTTTAAAATTGCAATTACAAAAAACACAATATTTTATGGAAGCCTTGTGAAGATTAAAAAAGCCATCTCGATTTTTCAACAACGAACATTTCTCTAAGCTAAAGAAAATTGTTTTAAGACATGGTTATCACAGGTAAAGAACATAGATAAGAAACAATTTACCTCTTCAGATTCTGTATATTAAACCATACAAATAAAATTCTTTACAAAATATCTTGTTGTTGGAGATTTTCCTCCATTTTGACAAAATAACGAGTTGTTTCCTTTCTACAACATAATCATAAAATAACCTAGGTTGGTCTCAATTAATGATCTTGAAAAGTTTGGAGATTCAAACCCTCCTTATCCGAAAACAAAAGAAGACAAACCTATTAAAGGCTCAATATAATTCAGTGCCGATGTAATGTTTACTTATGAATTAACTATTCTGTTGCATCATTTAATTCATTGAATTTTTTTTTCTGCTTTCTTCATATAAAAATTTCGTTTTCCTTTGCTACAATAATCAAAGTAATAAATAGTTCGACCTTCCTAAAGCAATTCTATTCATGATAGGCTTTTTAACTAGTTTATGATCTGGCCATACCAAGATTAATAACTACAAATCAAGTGTTGGGCCTTAATAAATGTCAATTGGTGTGTAGTTTTGTTTGATTATCTAGATCTATTCCACTTGATCCAATCCTACCGGGGCCATAGATCTACTAGTATTTTAATTACCCCTCTATGTGCAGAAGAGTAGGACGTAAAACTCCATTCATTTCATTTTCATTTAATTACTCCTCTACCGCCTGTATAAGAAACTTTTTTTAGTGGGTTGTTTCCCTTATATAACAACATCTTGAGTATCAACAACTACGGACTCAACAATACGGGCAGGTTAATTCTAAATAATTGATTTCATGTCTTAGACTTACTGAATTAACTTTTAATTAATTTATCTCCTTTTCTGTAAGTCTCTGGAAATCGACGGCAATATACAATTTAACGCACTATAATACTTTAATTTATTAGAAATGACACTAGCCTTAGAGTAGTGACACATTAAAGATATTATGGTATTGTGAAATTTATTTTTTATGATTTACCGGCCTACCATAATGTATTATATTTCGGGGAAGGGAGGGTTTGATTCTCCCAAATGTACAGGCCTAGGGTGGAGCAGACACTTTATTTAGAAATCAGGATTAAGGGTCTTGATATTGGGTTTTCTTCTGTTCTTATTCTGATCTGAAATTAGAAAAAATAACTCGCCCAATGGGCGAGAAGTATAGTATCTGTTATGTACTGATTGTTTTTAGTTTACTATGAACAATATTATCATTTAAGTTCTTATTTTTTGAATATGCAACTATCATTTTCTGCTTATAGACATGGGGGAATTTCTCTTGAAGGCTCTTATAGTGGGCATGAACTATCTTGCTTGCTCGATTGCTGGTTGTATTAAACGGGACAACAAAGGGTGCTATGCCTACATTATGATGAATATTTAGTCCTATAGGTCTTGCTGTATTCAATGTCTCAATCCAATGGGCCTCCCTAGATTGACGGAATTTGGTAGTTTCATCTTCGGGCAAGTCAATTTCTATACGCTCAATTGGGATTAGGGTGAGATCGTCTATTGAATGGTCGTCGAGGTTGAAATGATTAGAAACAGGCTTGTCTTTCTTTAATTTGATGTCTGACCTATGAGCATTAAAGCGAGTTCGTAAATTATTCTTAGTTTCTCCTACATATTGTTTGGGGCATTTCTTGCATGAAATTAAATATATTACATTCGAATGTTCACATGTTAGATGTTCC